TTTTTTTTTTTTTGTTAAGGAAGATTAGCCCTCAGCTAACATCTGTTGCCAATCCTCCTCTTTTTGCTGAGGAAGGTTGGCCCTGGGCTAACATACGTGCTCATCTTCCTCTACTTTATATGTGGGACACCTGCCACAGTGTGGCTTGATAAGTGGTGCATGTAGGTCCGCGCCCAGGATCTGAACCTGCAAGCCCTGGGCCACAGAAGCAGAGTGCACGAACTTAACCACTATACCACCAGGCCAGCCCCTTTAAGGAAGTTTTCTGGAGGTTTTGTCAAGTTAATTCTGCCTTATTGGCGAGAACTTAGTCATGTGGCCACCCCTAGGTGCAAAGGGAGACTGGGAAATTTATTTATTCTGGACATTCATGTGCCCAGGTAAAATCAAGGATTCTACTACTAAGGAAGGGGGTGAGGGATGATAGGTTGATAACTAATATCTCTGCTACAACTGTCCATTTTACTTTCCTGCTCCTGATTGTCTGGTCAAATCTTTTCTTCTTTTGAGTATGTAAATGTGACTACATTCTTTTGCTATTTCCCTTTCTGCCTTTTCTCATTTTACTTACCTTTGAAAGCTGTAAAGTGATATCAATGTAAGTTGGTATTTGTGCTAAGAATGTACATAATTTTAGAGGTCTATCAAAGACCTTACAGGTGATAGTTACTCTCTATTTTACAGTTAATGAGAATCCAAAACATCAAAACTAGTCAAATAGTAATATTCTGCATATCACTGAGAACACTTTTTTCCCCTAATATTTTAATCTCTCTGAACATAAGAAAGCACTGTGCTATGTAGTGTAATTCACTTGGCAGCTTTTTTCTTTCTTAGTGCCAAACAAAAATCAGTGACATCTTAGATTAAATACATTCTTAAAAAAAATATGGCCAAGGTTTGTTAAGATTTTATTTTAATTTTGTGCTACCATATAGGATTGCTTTAAGAACAGGAGGGGTATATTTTCTTACATAAAGTAGTTTTTTTCTGATTATAGAAGTAGTACGGCTCATTGCAGAAAATTTATAAGAGACGAGTTTAAAAAGGAAACAGGCACCACCTGTATGCCCACCACTTGGAGATAACATTTTGGTTTATTTTCTCCCAATAATGTTTTTCTTCTGCCATCAACACAGGTCCACGTAGATGCGTGCGGGCATGTGCGTCATAGATAACGTTAGCAAATTCAGCATCAGTTTATATGTTCAGTTTGTACATTTTTCTTAACATTATTTTGTCAATTTTTTGTGTTAAAATATTCTTTGAAAATGTGATTTATTTATTTATTTATTTTAAAGATTTTATTTATTTATTCCCCCCACCCCCGCCCAAAGCCCCAGTAGATAGTTGCATGCCACAGCTGCACATCCCTCCAGCCGCTGCATGTGGGACGCGGCCTCAGCATGGCCGGAGAAGCGGTGCGTCGGTGCGCGCCCGGGATCCGAACCCGGGCCGCCAGCAGCGGAGTGCGCGCGCTCAACCGCCAAGCCACGGGGCTGGCCCAGAAAAATGTGATTTAAAGATTGATTTCAGGATAGTCATTTGTATGGATGTATCATTTCTTAACTACTGGGAATGTATTTTTGCTACTTTCTGGTTTTCTAGCATTTAACATTGGCTAATAAAGAAGTAAGGAGGTAGGTAAAGATGATGAGAAACAGTAAAATACACCATTCAGGTAGTTAAGATGAGGGAGCTACCTAAGTAGATTAAGATAAATAAATGTGTTTCAGCTGATTAAAATGTGATATCAAGAATATTGTAGTCTAATTTAAATTGGGAGACAGCCCAGGATGAATTTTATTTTAAACAAAAAGGAATTGTAATTCAGAGCTCTAGTTTCATTAGTTGCTGGTTTATCTTGAACCTTTGGCTTCATGTATTAAAGATTATTTAATAGTTATGCTTGGGGCCGGCCCTGTGGCTTGGCGGTTGGGTGCGCGCGCTCCGCTGCTGGCGGCCCGGATTCAGATCCCGGGCGTGCACTGATGCACTGCTTGTCCGGCCATGCTGAGGCGGCGTCCCAAGTATGGCAACTGGAAGGATGTGCAGCTGTGACATGCGGCTGTCTACTGGGGCTTTGGGGAGAAAAAGGGCAAAAAAAAAGGAGGATTGGCAATGGATGTTGGCTCAAGGCTGGTCTTCCTCAGCAAAAGGAGGAGGATTGGCATGGATGTTAGCTTGGGGCTGATCTTCCTCACACCAAAAAAAAAAAAAATTATGCCCAAGACTTACTTCCAGACAAGTTTATTATTTTTAAATATGGAGGAGAAGTTTATTACAGTGCACTATTTAGGACTGTAAACCTCTTCTACATTGCTGCCTTCAAATGAAATGTTTGCAGTAGAACTAAGCTAAATAACACCTTACTTTTTATTAGATTACCTACCATTTTCAGGTTACATGCACATCATTGACTTTTTTTTAGGTTTTGCTTTTTTGGCTTATGGTGCTAATCATATAGAAAATATTTCAGATAAAGTACAATGGAAAGCAACCTAATGTGATGTGAACTCTGATGTTGTATAGACCGGGCCTTTGATCCTGGTTCTACAGCTTACAGGTTCTGTGACTTTGGGCAAGTCACATCACTTGACTTGTTCAAGCCTAGATCTCCCATATGTAAAATAGGAATTATGTTGTCTGCTTCAGAGATTGTCTTAAGACTAGAAGTAATATATAAAAGCCCCTAAGAGAGTATCTATATAGCAGTCATTCAATGAATAAGAGCCATTACCGGGCCGGACCCGTGGCTTAGCGGTTAAGTGCGTGTGCTCCGCTACTGGCGGCCCGGGTTCCGATCCCGGGCGCGCACCGATGCACCGCTTCTCCGGCCATGCTGAGGCCACATCCCACATACAGCAACTAGAAGGATGTGCAACTATGATATACAACTATATACTGGGGCTTTGGGGAAAAAAAAAGAGGAGGAGGATTGGCAATAGATGTTAGCTCAGAGCCGGTCTTCCTCAGCAAAAAGAGGAGGATTAGCATGGATGTTAGCTCAGGGCTGATCTTCCTCACACACACACACAAAAGTAAGAGCCATTACCAGCAATAACAACAATAGTGATTTTCAGTCTCTTTCCCTTCATGGCTTCTAGAAAGAAATCAGGGTTAGGTAGTTTTTTTAGATAATTCCTTTCTGCTTTATCATAGACATTGAATAAAGCCAGCAGTGGTATGAGTAGGAGTTTTGGAGCCAGAGGTTGGTTTCAAAAGCTGTTGGGAAATTAACACCTACTGTCTTGCCAGTTGCTTTGCTGAGAGCTGGATATACAGTGATTAACAAAAAGACATGGTGTTTCAAGTCAGATGGGGGAAGCAGACATTAAGACACCGAAAAATTGAAATATATAGAATTTCAAATTGTATTAAGTGCAATGAAAGAAAAATATAAGATGCAGTAACTTTAGAGTGAATTGTCAGGGGAGACCTCTCTTGAGGAGTCAGTTTAGTTTAAGACTTAAACACTGTACACACAGGGGTGCTTAATGACGGGGACACGCTTCTGAGAAATGCGTCATTAGGCGGTTTCGTCATTGTGCGGACATCATAGAGTGTACTTACATAAACCTAGAGGGTATAGCCTACTACACACCTAGGCTGTATGGTACCTAATCTTATGGGACACTGTCGTATATGCAGTCTTTTGTTGACTGAAATGCCGTTATGCAGTGTGTGACTATATTACCTATTCTGTTGTTACCTGTTTTGCCCAAAAAGGTCAGGTTTCTGGTTCCATGCCACTGTGAGGTTAAAAGATTCTTTTTGCAAAGCAGGCAGTGAATCAGAGAAACACGTAATTCATGGACTAGCAAGATGATCTTGTGGAGTCAGAGTATAATTTTTTATATGCCATACCCAGTATACGTTTTTCCTTTGTGTTTCTTTCTCTCAGCCTACTTTATTTTCTCATGCCTCTCTGCCTTTGAAAGGGTTATTTTAGCTATCTGTAAATGACCCTGCTCTTTTCTCATTTTAATAAAGACTCAGTCCAAAGTAACCTCAGCTTGGAAGCCTTTTTAGAAGAGTTATCTTTCTAAAATGCAAATCTGAGTATATTTATAAACCTTGTGCTTAAAACATTGGTTTCCAGTTGCCATTAGGATAAAATGGAGAATTGATAAAATAGCTTAAAGGCCTCTGGTGATCTAGCCCCTGTTTGCTTGTCCAGCCTCATCTCTGACCACTCGTGCGTCCCTTCACTGTGTGTTCCAGCCATAGGGTCTCTGCTGCACGGTGGTTGTCCCCTTCTTGGAATCTTAGGGGTTGTCTAGTTCAGCTGCTTATTTAACAAATGAGGTCTCTTTGAGCTCTGAAACACAGTGATTCTGTTTAACAGGTTACCTAAGCACCCAGCTTTCGTAGTTTCTAGTTAACTGTCTGCCTCCTTCCGTTGTCCTTCTGTCCATCTGTCAGCGTGCTGGTGCAATCATAGCCCATGGGCTGGATGAAATTAATAGAGGTGAGATTGAGAAGAAAAGCAAATTAGAAAGCCTATAACCTTCAACCTCCCTTTCAGGTTACTGATATTAGACATTATTCAGATTTATTGTGATCATATTTTGAGGTTCTAATTAATGCCAATTTCATGTTATAGAAGAACTCAGAAGAAAGCAGAAGTGGAGCACTTCTTGTACTGTTTTCTTCTATATTCCCTCTTATAAAGGCAGTGACGGTAATAAGCAGTCACCATCTATTTTCATCAGTACCTGGATACGTGAAAAGAGGAGGCTGAGGAAACTTAATGTTCTTCCTTGTATCCTAGTAGCGGCAGCTTCTATCAACTTTAATTCCTCAGAGAAAGAAGGGAATGGCATTAAGAAATAAACATCAGGCATCTAGGTTGTATAATACTATGTATAGGAATGTGGCAGATTTAAATAGTTAACCTTCTAATAGTAATAGCATTAAATGATAGAATTTGCTTAAATTGTAGTTTTTATTGTATGTTGTTTTGTTGTTTTTTCTTCATAGGTTAGCTCTGACGGGGGGGGAGGGGACAGAGTAACAAATATCTGTAGAGTGATAACTGTGTCAGCTACTGTGCTGTGCATTTTTGCAGGGTTTTTTTTTTGTGTGTGAGGAAGATCAGCCCTGCGCTGACATCTGATGCCAATCCTCCTCTTTTTGGCTGAGGAAGATTGGCCCTGGGCTAACATCTGTGCCTATCTTCCTCTACTTTATATGGGATGCTGCCACAGCATGGCTTGACAAGCGGTGCATTGGTGTGTGCCTGGGATCTGAACCCGCGAACCCCGGGCTGCTGAAGCGGAGCGCGCGCACTTAACCACTGTGCCACCAGGCCGGCCCCCTTTGCAGGGTTTTTTGTTTTTGTTTTGGGGCTTTTTTTTTTTTTTTTTAACATTCACACAACAGTTTAGCAAGTTACATGTTATTCATCTAAATTTTGCATGTAACTAACTGCTTAGAAAAGTGAAATAGCTTGTCTGAGGCTGCACACTAATGGTGGAGGTAGAATTTGAACCTAAGTCTTCCTGGCTGAAAGCTTATATTTCTTTTACTAGTTTATTGTTAGCACTAAAGATATCTTTTTCCTTAGTATTGTATTAGCTCAAGTATGGATTCCTGAACTACCCACATACAAGTTTTCATGCAGGAAAAGAAGCCATGAATTAATCATATTAAAATAGGACTCTATTTAGCTCAGCACGCCCAAGCAGTGTTCAGTGCTGTCTCAGGTGTCACAGGTTGGGGTTATAAATGGGGGGGGGGCGTGTTGTAAAAGAAGGTTACAAGGAGACTTGACATCTGTCCCCACCTTATACTGGCCCTCATGCTATTGAGATGCCTGTGATATTTATTCGTATACTTTCTCTCCTCTCTCTCTGTTCTCCTTTCACTCTAAACTTTCTTTGTAGCATTCACTGCACCATTAATAATTGATGTCTTTCCTCACTGATAGACAGTGAGCTCAGTAAGAGCAGGGCTACGTGTATCTTGTTTAGCAGCATAGGTGCTCAATAATAGAAGTACTCCTTGTTATCCCAATCTCTTTGTTCCCTGAGATCAGATAGTGGGTTGGGATAACAAGGGATACCCTTATTTCTGGAATGACTGTACAAGAAGAGAAAGTAGGAGTTTTGGAGTATGGGAAGAGAAGGACGGGAATAGGAGGAAGGGGAAAAGAAAAGGGTACAATTGATAAGGAGAGTGAAGGTGTGGAGATTGTTATAGAAGTTGCAAGTTCTTTGGAATGTATAGATAACAAAGGCTTGTCTGTGGGCGATTAGTGAGTAAGGCAGGAGAGCTCCTGCCGTGAGAAGTTGACTGCTCTATTCAACTTGACTTGGGTGGATTGGGACCTGATTTCAGCAGCTTGACTGACGTTTATTATGTTTTTTTTTTTCATGCTTCTGGTCTGCTTAACCCAATACTTAGTTGGGAAGGGGACTGGTTCTAGCGTATGAGGAATCCTAGCTAAAAGAAATGGCTGGTTTCCCTTTGCCACATCTCAAGTTTCCAGGCTTCTTTTTTAACGTAGAGTGAAATTTTCGTGGACTGCTATGAGTAGGGATAAAATGTTAAGACTTTACGTGGTTTAGCCCCCTCCTGCCACCCTTCCCTTCTTTCTCAACTCTTATTATGCTTTTGCTTCAGCTATGGATGGCATCCTCCTTCCTGGCTATTTCTCAGACATGCCAAGGGTGTTCCTGCCTCAGGCTTTTTATATTCATGCTTCTTTCCTCCTGGTATTTTCCCTACAGATATCCACTAACTTGCCCTCTAACCTTCTTCAGATCTTCTCCAGTGTCATCTTATCTTTGAGGCTTTCCCTGACCTCTCTGTGAAAAATAACACCTCCCACCCCCATTCCTCTGCTTTCTCTCTCTGTGACACCATCTGGCATACTGGATGTCCTGTTTACTCCCATGGGAATTGTAAGTTCCATGAGGACAGGGATTTGGTTTTGTTCATTGTTGTATCTCCAGCGCCTAGAACAGTGCCCAGAACTGTACCTAGCACTTAGTGGAATGAATGGATTCTTTCCCTTCTTCTCTTTTAGTATATTTCTACATGGGACAACACTTTTGTAACTGGAAAAAACCTCTGTTTATTAATCAGTCCAGTTGTAGAGATAAAATGAGAAAAGAACCTTCTTCTTTGTGTCACTTTTTTTTGAATTTCTTTTGTCTTTGGTTGGGGAAGCATCCTATTGAAAAATTTCAAAATGAAGATGGGCATATGAGTGAAATGAAACAAGCAAAAGGAACTAAAGTAAAATACAGATAACCTTAATATGAAAAAATAATTTTATAAAAACTATTTATTCTTCCAGGGAATATAGGTCCTCGGTATATTTCTGCAACCTCCATCATTTGTATTTTCTGTTTTGGCTAATACTTTCCCATCTCTTTGCTTTTTATCACTTTGTCTCCTTCTGTCACTTTTCACTTAATCTTAAGTCCTACTGATCCTTCGAGGTTTCAACTCCCAGCTCAAAAAAGACATTTCCAATCATCTCATCCTTGCTTTCATTTTTTTGCTAAACTCTTATGTGTTCTTTGAGTCTTTATCGATGGTTTTATTGCTCAGATGACACTTAGGTACTCTTCTGTGTATTGTTTATATGTATATGTCTTGTATTTTCCATCTCCATCAGCTGTCTTGTGAGAGCCAGGACCTTATGGTGTTCTCGCTGCACAGGACCCAAAAGGCATTTGGGAACTGGGGGAGACAGAGCAGTTTGAAAAGCCTTCATATAGTTCCATTAGATAACGTTGATGTTTTTAGGCTTTACTTTTTTTTTTTTTTTTTTTTAAAGATTTTATTTATTTATTTTTTCCCCCCAAAGCCCCAGTAGATAGCTGTGTGTCATAGCTGCACATCCTTCTAGTTGCTGTATGTGGGACGTGGCCTCAGCATGGCTGGAGAAGCAGCGCGTCGGTGTGAGCCCGGGATCCGAACCCGGGTCGCCAGCAGTGGAGCGCACTCACTTAACCACCAAGCCACGGGGCCGGCCCTAGGCTTTACCTTTAAAGGACTTGGTCAAACTGTTGGTGTTACAGAACCTGGAAAAATGCTACTTCAGATATTTTAGGTTCAACCTAAATAAGTTAGTTAGAAGAAAAGGCACTTTTTTTTTCCTTGAAGAATTAGTAAGTAACACTTTGTTTTTCTTTATGTAGATGAGTCCTATCAATTTAAAAATATCCAAATTTATAATTTGAGCATCCACAGTAGGGTCGCCTATTATAATCTGAAGAAACATTTTTTTCCATC